CGGGCCTCCCCGCGAGCGCCCTGCGAGGGGTCGGGCTTGGCTACGCACTGCAACGATGCTCATTTCGGTTGTCAGGAAGATTTCCAAATCTCAACCAGTGGCCGTTTGTTTGCATTTCAGTTCAACTGAACCTTTATAGGAACAAAAAATCTGGTGGCTCTCACCTTATCTCAGTGGGCTTTACCTGCATGTCTGCTGCCTTCCCACAGCTAACATAAGGCCGCAGAGTTTCAAATAATATTTTTAAAAGTTGGAGGAAATGGTTGCCAGCTACTAGGAATTTAATTGCCTCTCACAGGAGAATACAATCAGAAGTGCCAACATTCACAGGTTAAAATGATTAAGATGAATCTAGTTCTGTGGCTTGAACTACATCCTAACAGGCAGGAGGCGCTTGGCATCAGAGAGGATCACAGGGTAAATGGGACTCAGCAAAAGGGTCATTATTTCTCGTCAAATAATTCCAAAGGGTCTTTGTAGGAGTGCCACATCATAACCTTTCTTAGCTCAACCAGCACAATGAGTAAAAGGAAAACATGACTTCCCTCAAACTTGGAGAAGGAATTTATTAAGTCCCTGCCTGAATGTGAACTAGAGATAAGCTTTTAGAGAATCAGATCATCGTAATGACTCCAGTGAAGCCCGGTGCCTGTCATGTTCGGTTCAGAGAGGAAGTGAGTTTGTCCAGAACATTCTGAGAAGATGAGTGGGGCTCACCTCCTTCCTCCCCCTCCCCACGTCATCCCTCCTCCACCCCTCCCCCGCGTCAGCCCTCCTCCACCCCTCCCCCGCATCATCCCTCCTCCACCCCTCCCCCGCGTCATCCCTCCTCCACCCCCTCCCCCACCTTCATCCCTCCTTCTCTCCCAAGCAGCTCGTGCTTGATGCGGAAACCGTGCGTCTGCCCACGCTGGCTCAGGGCACCCTGGGCCCCGCTGGCAGCTCACAGGTACTCTATGAAATCTGCGTGTGTCCAGATGGGAAACTCTACCTGTCTGCGGCTGGCGTGGGTACCACGTGCCATGAGAGCAGCCATGTCTGTCTCTGAACCACCTGCACCCGCCACAGAGCACCTGCCTCGTTTCCGGGAGCTTTCGAGGGCCGACCTCTAGCCACCGCGCTTGGAGCAGCCAGACATCCTGTAAAGCTGAGACGGCATGTGGGGCGTAGCACCCGCTCTCCAAAGGTGCTCAGAAAGAAAACTGTACCAGGGAGCGTGTTCCTGGGAACCCCATGATCTCAGAGTGGCAGGTGGGCGTGAGACACAACAAGGAAATAACAAAGCAAAGTGTTTATTCCACTAGACTAACTTCCGTCAGAATCACTGTGGCTTTCCCTTTTGCATACGTGGGACCTGCAGTGAAACCCTGAACTGCTGTGTGGCGTCAGCTGTGGTGTCCAGCTGTGGGCCCCCCCGGAGGCAGCGTGGGTCCCTACCACAGCGCCCCAGGGCTGTGAGTGCCCCCTCCACTTCCGTGCAGTGTCGGTTTCACAAGAAAATCTTCCTGTGTTAAAGGGACGTGGAGGTTGATCTGATTTTTAATACATAATCAGAGGAATAAATGATACAAAACTGATCGCACTTTCTTTATACTCAGTCAGTGAGCAATAAAAGCCAGCCGCCATTTCTCACAGGCCCCACAGCTTGTCTTCCTTCCCTGACTCCCCACAGCTCTTTGAGGTGGGCGTTACTGTTCCCCCAGTTACTGATGGTAAAACAGGTTCAGATGGGACAACTCCCCAGGTCACACAGTGTCTATTAAAGCTAAACTGTGAGCCTACTTTGCAACATCAGTTTTCACTCCAGAAGACTCTGATGTGTCTCGTTCGGTCCCCGTCACCAGTCCACGGGGCACCTGTGTAGACGGGCTGGTGCCTGGCGAGTGAAGAAACAAAGCTGAGGGGAGTTTGTCACCCACCACAATCACACCACGCGAAGGCTGGGGCTGGCAGCGGCCCAGCCCGTGTGGACGGGGAGGGCCCTGGTGAAGCCTCTCGGGATCAACCTCTCAGTCTCCATCGCTGGTTGGGTCATTTGTATGTAAGTCCAGTGGGCACCCTGAACCCATGCACAGGTTGGTTTTGTGCAGGCCACTCGCTCACCTGTGAAATGCCTTCCTCGTAAAGAGTGGTGGGTGTTGGTTTGGGTGTGTGTTTTTTCCATTGCTCTAATTAGGATCCCCAAACAGCACAAGACGTGGTGGGGCCAGCAGCACCTCGACTTTCTAAATGAAGGAACGCTGTTTTAACAAGGTGTTAACAGCGCAGCACACTTACACCGACTCCTCGGTCTCTGACTTAACCAGAGTCATAAACACTTCAAATTACAAAACAAAAACGCGGCGTTCCCTACGTTAAGCGCGAACCCAGCTCTGAGTGCAGCGCTCCTAGTAGGGGTGTGCTGGGGGCAGGGGATTTAGACTGTAGGCCGGTATTTGGTATTTGCCTTTTCCATTCAGTTAGGTCCTAATTTTTAAACTTAATGCTGCTTTCTTGCTGTGACATCCCTGGTGTGAGGGTAAACAGTGTTGCCTTTCTCTTTTGTCACATCTACTCCTTGTACCATGTTTCACGCCCACTTGATGCAGATGCAATGCGGGACCACCACGGACCTTTCTAAGTTAGTCTGATCCTCCTAGTCTGTGGCCCAAAAGAACGATGTAGATGATAAACTGAGGTAGAGAAAAAGAATCAAGGAGAAAGTATGGGGAATAGAACCTTTTAAACAAAAGATATATATCAGATTTTTTTGTTTCTTTGCTGGATGGAATCATCATGAAAGACGTTTTATAGCTGTGTTCTCGAGTGGTAAGGAATCTATCCTTGATTCGAATAAAAACTTTTAGATAGGCTGTATTCTAAAATGTATTACACAGACCTGTCTTCTTAAATACATTACACAGAGTGGTCTGAATTTTCACTGATGGTGCAGGGTCATGACTGTGGACACGGCTAAGGAGGCACACACACTGACAGCCCCACACACCAGGTGGTTATTAACTGCTGGGTGACAATATTTGTGACCAAAAAATCATCCATATTTCTTTTCCAATTTCCTAGCCAACTGAGAAGCAGACACGAGTCAGAAAGATGAAAATCAAAATACCAGTGTTAATAGTAAAGTTTAATTCGCAGCAAAATGGACTAGAATCTAAGGCCTTTCAGCGGAACAACGTGACCCTCCCCATCCCTGCAGACCTTAAGCTCCAACTCTGCAGCTCCTGCCCGTGTTCAGGTTCCCCCGCCCCAGGCTCCCCCAGGTCAGTCTCCACCCCTCTGGGGATGCAAATCAGGGTGGGAGCTACTTTTCTGAAAGGTCAGAGCATCCTCACCCTGACAAAGTCGGCTGGGCTGGGTCTGCTGCAGGTAGCGTTCTGTCCCCCCCTTCCCTGATTCAAAACATCACTTCTCACCTGGCTTTAGCAGTTTTCTCCATATTCTTAAATTCCACTTCAAATTTGCTGTGGTTTAAAAGCCAAATAAACTTTGTATCAAGTGTAAACAAGCAGGTGCCAGAGGAGAACCTAAGCGCACCGAGTAAAAGGTGGTTTTCAGCGAGACAGACAGTGTGTCATCAGTGTCTTCCTCTCAGAGACCCGGGCTTTGTGTCCAGAGCAAGCAAGCGCACCTGCCTGGCCACTTACCAGCTATAAGAGAAAGAAGCACAAATTGTAAACACATAACTCTTATTTTTAAGTAAGCTCTAACTCACGCCAGCATTCCTGTCGCAGTCTCCCCAGTCTGCGGCAGCTGCAGGGTGTGCCCCCACCTCTCCCACACCTGACGTGACAGCCCTGGAACACTCGGGGGGGCTTCCACACCAGCTAGTGAGTGAATGATGCCACTTTAAGCCAAATTTGTCAAAACAAGGTACGTGGAAATGCAGCTTCAGAAGCCAGCTCCAGGAAATGCCACCTGCAGGCTTCAGCTCATGCCTGTGGCGTAGGCGGGCCCCGTGGGTCGCGGACTCGCCAGCCCCCGCGCTCCGCCCCGAGTCAGCTCCTGGAAGACCTCTTCACTCCCCTGCACCTGTGTGTCTCCTGCTGGTTCTGCTTCTCTGGTCGAAGCCTGAGTAGTAAAGATGTGACTAATTAAAATTTCAGATAACTGCACTGTGTGGAGTAGCACGAAACGTCAGCTGGCACCGACGCAAGAAAAGCCCACCCGTCCTCAGGTCAGACCAGTCAACAACTTCCGTCCATTAAACACTAGTTACCCTGGCACCCCAGGGTTCTCGTCGTGTCGGAGGCTGCGGGCCCAGCGGCCCAGACCCCGGCCCAAATGCAGGAGGCCGCCCGAACCCCTCCCTCATGGGCAGCCACTCCCACACCAGCTGACACTTTCCACTTTCCTTTTCATAAGGAAAGCAAAACAGGGTAAATGGGGAAAAGCATAAAATAGTAAAATTTTTAAAATTAGCTCAGGTCCAAAATTCCTTACCCTGAATTGCAAAGTCTAAAAAGCTTCAAAAAATGAATACTTTCCAAATACATCTGCCAAACTATTGGTGGCAAAACGTGACCTAAACTTCGGTGAGGCTGTTCCGCGGTCCGTGCAGCGCGGGGGGCGTCCGTGGGTTTCACTGCAGAGGGACTGGTGCGTCTGATTAAAGGGGGCTGCCCAGCGCTGACGGACGTGCTTCATAAAACACAGCTTACGTGCACTTGCACTAACTTCCTAAAATCCAATTCCGAAATACATCTAGATGCAAGGGCTTCATATAAGGGACCATGAACCTGTATTTAAAAAAAAAAAAAGTCTAGGAAAAAACACAAAACTCCAACTAGACCAGCTACCATAACGGCCAGACAAGGTTCTCTGTGTACATTTTAATACCCAGAAGCAATAACATATATTCCAAGTGCTGAATCTGAGCTTTCAAGTAGCAAGAACTTCAAGTCCCAGACAGCCGGAGACCCAGAGGCTGAGCAGCCCGGAGCGGAGAGCTCTCAGCCCAGTCTGCCTGATTTCGAAGACCTGTGCCTCCAGGATAAAGATGGACACCCCTGCTGCCAGGGCTCCAGGGGGAACTAGCCCCAGGCACGCAGCCCTCTCCTGAGCAAGGGAAGCACCCATCCAGCCTTTACCTACAGAAGGACCGTATTTAATGAATCTGTTTCCAAATACCTTTGTATACCCTCTATGTCAGCTAATCTTACTCCCTAAAAAGGTGAATCAACTCTTAACAAAATCAGTGAGCACCTACTAAACCTAGTGTATATCAAGCATTTAATAGTCTATCACAAAAAAGAAACCATTAAAATTCCAGTATAATACATGGGAAAATTCTATCCTAATATTTCCAATAAACATACACACACGAGGAAATTTAATATAGTAAGATACTAAGTTTGATTTTCAAGGAACTACTCAGGAAATACCAGTTGCAATGATTTCATATGTACATTTGCTTTATTAAAATTGTGGCACTTAATAGCAGAAATAATCACATGGCTTCACATCCAGAAGCAATACAATAGTGGAGGCGCAAACATTCCTTATGACCAAGAAAAGTAAAAAAGTTTCAGTATGTTCCATAAGCCCTTCATTGCATAAAATATTACATTTAGCATCATTTACAGCCAGCACACTTATGTGAACTAATTATCATCACCTTTCTCTTACACTCTGCAAAAGAAATATGTCCGTAGGACATTCAAACATGATAAAAATTGAATGCCAGTTCTGAGTCACTCCTAGGGGAAACACAAGCCGATAATTCCTCTTTATAGCCTGCTAGATATCGTCACAATGATTTTACAATTGCTTCACGTCTTCAAAGTAAAATCCAAAACCTGCACTAAGTGCCACGTTGAGGGGCAACAGGGGTTCACTGCAGCACCTGTAGACGACAGAAGATTGCGTCGTGTTCGACCACACCACCTAAATGCCGACATTTGTGGGGAATATGCACAAACAAAGCAGATGTCCTAACAGGTGACAAACGCTGCTCTGGCAAGCAGCTCCTGGGAGCGGCGTTAACATCTCCGGGCTAGAACTGCCAGCAAGGGGTTCCCCCCGCGTGATCTCCGTGAACTCGGAGGCCTGTAAACATAGGGCGGAAACACATGGAAGGTAAGGACGTAAAGTGCACCCAGCAAGTACGATCTGCAGATTCGCAATCAAGTAATACTCAGGATTAAAATGCGGTACCATTTGTTACACATACTGAGGGCTTAATATGTAAAATTGCAACAAATTCATAATCAGATCCAGCTGATAAGAAAATAATACATCCGAGAGGGTCCACTTAAAGAAGTGATAAACTCCAAAGACTTAATTCCCCTTCTTCGTTTAAACCAATGATATGTCCAGTGTTTCATGAGCTCCTTCAAAAATATCATGTTAAAAACATAAAATTAACTTCCTCCTAACCAGAGACACACACTCTTCTCTAACAAATGGCTAAGCTTTGGTTATATAAAGTGCTGTTCAAAATGTGCCATCCCAGCCAGCCCAGCACAGCCAGAGATTCTGCAGTCACCACCGTCGTCAAAACAACTCTGACTCAGCCTTCCGTCGACAATCACGTTCAGACAACTGCACAGCGCCCCCACGCCGTCCACAGCGCGCTTCGCCACCCCTGCAGAGCTGGCGGCGGGGCCCGAGGAAGGACGCTGTCTGTGTTTGTGCTACAGCCTGCTCAACAGCCAGCCCTGCTGTTTCTTCTCTAAGCACCTTCACGCCTTCTGTTGTATAAAATTCTCCAGTTTGATGATGATGCAGGCGGTGCACTCCATCACCCGCATGGCGACCTCAGAAGTGAACCTGTCATTTGGGATCTGTGGGAAGGGAAGCAAGTCAGGGTACCTTGTTTTCAAGCTGTCTACCCCGTAAGCCTCCAATGTGTGGACATCATTCGTCAGCCCCTCCAGCTGCTGACTGTACTCCTCAATTTTCTGGGCAAGTGCCGTTGGCTTCACGTCCTTGTCAGACTTGCCCCTCACAGCATAGTCGGCAGCGATCAGGGCCAGCTTGGTGGAAAGGAAGCATTTAAAGCACACCCATTCGTTGGCATTTTTGTGAAGGTCGTTCCTGGCGGCTGAGAAATTTGCCCTGGCTTGGCGTAACCACCTCCGCGCTTCCACGGGATTCCCGACGGACTTGAAGGTGGGAGGGACAAAGAACCTCTGGGAGTAGGTCTGCCCGGCAGGAGGGGGGCCCTGCTCCTTGTTCTGCTGTTGCCTCTCAGATTTATGGCTCGTTGCTTCTTGATTCCACGAGGTATAAAATCTCTGGAACGAGCACTTTTCTGACTGAAAGCGGGATGCTGGGGTTGAAAATGTTCGCCTCGAGGCTCTGTCAGCATTTTGGTCAAGAAAAGCCTGTTTCTCTAATCTGTTGATTTCATTCTGCAAGTGTTTAAACACTTCATTAGCAATGTCGTGATTCTCTGGGTTTTTGTCAGGGTGCCACTTCAAATACAACCGCCTAATAATCTTCTTTCTTTCAGACTCCGGGAGCTTCCATGCTTGCTCCACCACTGAAGTCACTTCTTTTAAAATTTCTGGTAAAGAATTCACCTTGAGCTTTCTGGGGGAGTGCTGCTTGGAAGAGGAGGTCTTGTGGCCCTCCTTCCCAGAGAAGAGAGGGGGGATGCTTCGCAGACCAGGAGCCGGGAACTCCGTGGGGCTGGTCGGCGTGGAAGGGGCGCTGTCCCTGCTCTGAGAGCTTTCCTCGGGCCTCGAGAACTTGTACAGATCAAGAGAGCTGACTATTTTATACTCGCTATAACCGATGTCAATCTGATATATCTTTCCCAGAAAACTAGAGCTGTCAGCATCTTCTCTTTCAACTTCCTGCACAATAATGGCGTACGTGTACGTTGGCTGGTACGACCCATAGATGTCACCACCTTCAGCATCCACGAGGTACCCGACGTACTCTCCCGGGTAAAAGATGTTCATCGGATCCATCAGCAGAGTGTAATGAATCTCAGCAGGTATTGGGGTGCCGGGCATTGGAAGTTCAAGTTTTGAGGGTTCCGAAGAATCATATTTCACTCCTAAACTGTCAAGCTTCTCACTGATCCTGTAAATATCATTGCACCCTAGCATAGCAATTAAATATGAAGTGTCAGAAATCAAGTTGTCAGTGGCCGACTTAAGCGTCATGGCCAAGGCCAAGAGGAAGTTAATGTCTTTGCTGTCTGAGTGCTGTATGTAGAGCAGGATGACTGCGTTCCCAAACCTCTTCAGAAAAGCAAACGTTTCACTCCTGCTGTGGGGAATAGGATTAAAACCCTTAACTCTTAACGTTGTTTGAAGCTTCTCGAAACAGGACACTTTCAGTCCTTCCCTTAGGGCTTTGCAAAGTCGTATGGCTTTTTCCTCATTGGCCAGGAAAGCATTATCGTTCTCGTGCTTCATGATTCTGATCAGGCCGGTGATGAACTGTTCAGAGGACAAGAGCAACTGCAGCCTTCCCTGCAGAGAGCACAGGGCTCCAAACTGGCAGACTTTGGGGGTCTCCTCATCCAGCTGCTCTTCAAGGATGCTGCTCAGCAGACGCGGCCTGAGCTTCTGGGGGAAGAGCATGATGAGCTTGGTGTGGAAGCCGTGGTCCTTCCCCAGGTAGCACTGGCTGAGATCCACCAGCATCTGCACGCCGATGTTCCCCTGGACCCTGCTCTTGTAGTGCGGCGCATCGTCAAACACCAGGATGCTGGACTTCACCAGCCTGCCGTCCTGGCTCGGCAGGTAGAGAGCCAGGTCCCGGACGCCCTCCAGATCACCCCGCACCTTGACGGAGTCGTTCTGCAGACTCCTGAACAAGCCAGAGACTACTCTCTTCACGGTACGCATCTCGTTAGGATCTAACTGTTTTCCTTCGGAGTTTTTGAATATGCGGCTCAGCACTTCAACGTACTGCTTAGTTGAAATGATGTCTTCAGTGCCCAGGAGCTTGAACAACTGGTGGAAGGTGCCGAGTTCCAGAGGTAGCTTGTACAGGTAAGGTTTAAAATCGGACTCGTACTCCAGATTTATCACCACCTCCTCCGGCTTCAGAAGTTTCCAGCCATCTTCCACCATCACGAAAGCAACCCCCCGCAGCTGAAAACGGAACTCCCTTTTGTCTGCACTAAGAAATTCGTAAATGCTCCTTAAGACCTTTGCTCTAGTTTTTACCATTTCTTCATCCAAAGTTGTGATGTTGCATATGTTTCTGCAGTTATTAATGACCTTATCAAGGGGCGGGTCCAAGTTGACGTTAAGCAGGCTTAGAACCTGTTCCAGTTGTTCTTGTGGGCCAAGCTCACTCCCCTCCTGTTCTCTGATACTCAAGGGTGTGGCTTTCTCTGGAAGAATAGGGCAGGATGTCCATAACAGCTGTAGCACATCACACTGCTTGAATTTGGGATTGACCTGTGCTCCATTGAACTTTATAAGAGGAAGTGTTCCATTTACCTCTTGATACTGAGGATGAAATCGAATGAATTCAGCAGGGGCCCGCTCAGGACATAAGAATGGTATCAAAGACAGTTCTTTCAGAAAATTTCCAGATAGCAAGTCCATCCGTTCTTGGAAGATATGATGCAGGAGGATATCGACTGTATTTTGCAGTGTTTCTTTGGACCAGTTTTCAGTATTAGCTCTCACACTGACTTCCTTGGCGAACTGCAACAACTGCTGCTGAGAAAGCACATGTTTGAGTCCAATATTTCTTAAGAATTCCACCCAGGATGTCATAAATGCAACTTGGTTTTTGGGTTTTATAAGTTGTTCCAATTTTTTAAAGAAGTCCTTAGGAATAAACAATTTTTCAGGAAGCATAACTTCAAAAACTCTCACAGTTCTATCATAGAAATGTTTGGCTTGCTTTAGTCGACTGTTAGCATCATAGATTATCAGTAAACTTTCCAGTTTTTCAAAAAGTTGCTCCTTGATCTCTGACAATTCCTCAACACTTGATAATCTGTTCTTAAGATAGATCAAATGCTCTAATTTCGCATCATAAGAGAGATTTTCAATTTTTGGTAAGAGGTGTTTCAGATACACCTCCAGATCGTCTACAGGTACACAACCGAGCACTTCATACAGTTCTTTTAAGTGCATTTTTTCCTCTAGAAATGCAGAAGAGGATGACTGTGTCCACTTTTCCACTTCAGCTGACGGAATACTTTTCGTAAGCACATAGCATGTTCCAAATTTTGCAATGCTCATATAGCGACCACTAATGGATTTGTAGCATGGAAGGGACTTTAAAATTTTTATGTCATCTTGGGACATCAAGTGATTCAAATTGCAGTTGAAATACATCAGAAGTGCTTCAAAGTCATTTTCTACTAATTTTTCTGTTCTAAATGTTGAAGTTTGGACCATATAATGCAGAGCCTTCAAAATGCTTGTGGGGCTCTCTATGTTTGCCGTGTGACATGATAACAGAGGAGCAAAGGCACTGTCTTTGGAGCAGATTTTGTTCAAAGCAAGCTGAATACAGCCAGCCTTCATGAGAGCATGAAAAACCTTGTCACTCTGGGCATTTGGGAAAACCGCGATGTGCATGAGGCTCAGAGGAAGCAGAACATCACCTTCAGGAACTACGAGCTGATTGGCTGAAACAGTAAACTTTGTCCCAGGGAGCAAGGCCCAGTCTTTTAGGGTGTCAACCACAAGGTCAAAGGTTGGCTGTGTCTCTTCTTGGTCTTCTTTCACATTTACAGATTCGCTGATAAAATGCCATGCATTCTTAAGCCAAGACTCACTTGCAAAATTGTCTTTCCACTTTGTACAATTTTTGGTCTTATATTCACGAGGCAATACAGAGGATAACAGGTCTGCAAAGCTGGAAATGTCAAACACTTTTGCAACTTTACAGTTTAATAAAATATTACTGTATTTCAGATACAATGTATTCATGAACAAGTCTTTGCGGGATGGAATCAATTCATGGTATGTTGTGAGAAACTTGGGTCGTTTTGCATCAAACGTTTGCAAAACGCTGTCCAGTGTAATGAGAAGGGGCAGCCCCTCCACTTCAATCGCATTTTCTTCTGCATCCTTAAAACAATAATCCACTAGAAGTTTCAGACTGTGAAAAAGTTTCAGGTTAGTCTGCTGGAGGCGACAAGGCAGCTTGCCAATGTGGCAGTTGGTATCGGGAGAGGAAAACGTCATTAAAAAAGATCTAACGTCAGCAGGAGTGACATAACTAACAGGAATGTCAGCATCTATAAGACAGTGATACAGATTAGCAGTTTCATCACAGTTATAAACCAGGTTGAAGCCAATTTCTAAAAGCAGGTGTTTCAGTCTGTAGACATTCTCTGCCACTGTTTTGCGCGTTGTGATATTATAATCTGCATTCTTAAGGTGCTGTAATTCATCCTGCAGTAAATTGTCAAAAAAGGGTCTCATTTTATTGGAAGTAGACATATTAATCCAAGTGATTATAACTGCAGAGTGCAAATCAGAGCCATCAATATTTGGAGCCCGAACAACAGGCAGGAGACGTTTCATGTCTTCGTGAATGCAACTGTAAAGTGCTTTCACTAGACAATACAGATCTGGCTGTAGATCAAGCCTGTTCACTGGGAAAAATGATAAAAACTTTTTTAAAGTGTCCTTTACAACATGAATAGGCGTGTTCTGTAAAACTGATAAGGTTGGGTCGGAACCGGGGAAATACCGCTTTTTCAGCTGGATTAGTAATTCGACATAGGCAGGAGCGATCAGGGCCGTCATCAGGCTGCTGTTCCAGTCGCTTCGAACGCCGACCCCATTATCGTCCCGCCACAGATTCCTCCGAGCCGAATCGAGAGCAAAGTGGCCGTTCACGTGAAAGGGCAACCCCGTCTCTAAAGAGAGGGGCAGAAAACAGAAGGCCCTGTGGGGTTTCTTGTAGTTGTGAGTAATGCAGGCAGCCACCCCACCCCGTGGGAAGAGAGTGATGTCCTGGTTCTTGTGAGCTGACACAACGCTCCTGGATACTTTTTCCATGGCTGAGAAACCTGACCTGTTACAAATGAGCCAAGTAGTAAGGTTTCCTTCCGAGTCTTCAGTATCCATAGTGTAGGTTACCTGTTGAACTGGTATGTCTTTGAGCTGCCTCTTTTTAGTAACACTGTCAATTACAGATGCATGAAACTGTTTCCTTTTCAGTCTGTCTCCATCAGTGATTTTACCCTTTACAGAATACAGCACGTTTAGAGCTCCAGTAGCTTTATCTATTTCACAAATAGAAATTTTCTCCATGTGATTAAGAAACATTAAAAGCTCTGCCCCATCAGACCGCAATTTGTCCAAAAGATTCTGGACCATTCTGTCTGATGATGGGACTGAAGAAATTTCTGAAACTTTTGCCATTTCTGCATTACGAAGAGGAAATCTAAACATTGTGCAATTATCCAGTTTAAAGTGGGTTCCCAAATAAAGATCCAGAACATCTGAGAACTGTGTCCGAAAATCTGCATCCAAATCTCTGAACATGCGTCCAGGACTAACGGATGTGGCTCCTGGTGCGTATCTGGCATGAGGATCAAAAATACACAGGATGTCGTTGCCAGAGATAAAAGATGGGCAGTCTGTAATATGATAGACAGAATTGAAGCCTATCCCATACTGTCCAGTTTTACAAGGGTTTCCTTCTTTGGTGCCTTTTCCAAGATTCTGGATTCCTCTGACATCATCTTCTGTAAAAGGTTGGTTGTTATACACACACAGCGCTGGCCCCTGCAAAGGGGCCCACTTATCATCAAATATTCTATCAACTGGATGCTGCCTAGGGTCAAACACAAAACAGATTTCTGTGGCCTTTGCATCATCAGCATTTTGAAGAAGTTCTTTCAACATTTCCTTTTCTGAAGGATAGGCATTAAGGATACTCTTAATTCTGCTGGTCAGTTTTTCTTTCTGTCCAAATTCAGTGCCGAGGGTTGTGAAACAGATGTTGGACGCATACCTCTCCAAGGCTTTGTGTCGCTTTGGAACTGCTCCTAGTTTTACAGCTACTTCCCTGGGTATATCGGCGTGACAATATTTCACAGTGGTATCCTTTACTTTTATCCAAGGACAATCATTGTAGCATAAAGATTTTGCAGGGAGAAGCTTAAGATTAGTATCTGGCAATAATATTTTGCCATAATTTTTCTCACAAAATTCTTGTTTCTTTTCTCTAATGAGACTCCATATTCCTTCACTAATTATTCGCCGGCAAAGCTGAAAATTCTCTTCTGTTATTTGCTTTGTTTCTCTTTCTTGGTCAATAAATTCCAAAACAAGGGCAAAATCTTCAACAGTAAAAGACTGCCTCACACCCACACTTTCAAAAAGTTCACGGAAATTATTTTTATATTTATTAGGCAACTGGTAAAGGTATGGGGCTGCTTCAAAATTCAAATGAAAAGAAACTTTTTCTGAGTCAACATACGCATTCTCAACTAGAATAAAACTAAAGGTTTTTAGCTTTTCAATAATTGATGCCTTAGCAATGTCACTTTGCATCATTGCTTCATGAAGGTATTTGTAGCAAGCGTTGGTGATGGTCTCCTGGTACAATGTAATTCCATCATCAACTGATTTTGCAACTTTTTTCAACTGGTTTACAACCAGGTCCACTGTTGGCTTCCTTAGTAATCCCAAAAACTCTTTCACAGCCAAAGGCACTGAACCACAACCTCTGAAGGAATGTGAATTTTCATTTAGAATTGGTTGCAGAAGACAAATTATATCTTGATGTTCAGCTGTATAAAGGTCGGTTGCTGCAAACATGGTTTCAGGCTTAAAACTGTTACCTCTCCAGTCCAAAGAAAAACCTGCTGGTTTTGTCAGAAATGGAAGAAAGGGGATTGTTTGATATTTTGGAGCAAAGTCCTTTGCTCTGGGGTCCCTTATTTTAAGTTTTTCATCAATAAGACTTAGAAGGATGCTACTTCTTAGACAAGCAGCGCCATGATCACTTTTATTAATTTCGGCTACTGACTCTGCCCGTTCTAGCATGTCATCCCATAAAATGTCATCTTTCGCCATACCTAACTGAACTAATTTAATCAAAATAATAGGATTTAGATAATCCTGAGTAGAGCCATAAGGAAATCGTCCATCTTTAATATCAAATAACTTTGCAACTCGTCCTTCAGGGTGGATTAATCTTGATGGTAAAACCAAAGGATGCCCCTCCAAAGAGCAAGGAATACATGGAGTGACGCGAAGAATTCCCGAGAACTCATCGATTTTTTCATTTAGAACAAAATTCATTAAAGGATCTCTGAGTTCTGCTTCAATTTCTTGAATATTTGGAAAAAACACTTCTGAAAAAAACTGTTTCTCTGAAAACGTATTTTCAAGCAGTATCTGTTTGCAGCCGGCTTCTTCAAATCCTAATTTTACTGAAGAAGGAAGTTCAACAGCACAAAGGTTTTTTGACCCAGTCTTCTTGAGGTATTTCAGAAATATTTTGAAGGCCGCTGGACCCACATCTCTCCTGTTAAGTATAGAATCGTCTAGAAATCTCACATTCTTCATGGAAACCCATGTGGATCCGTCAGAGAAGACTCTTGTCAATTCCTTCCCTTTTCCGTGAGCTATATCTTCATAAAACCCTTGACAAATGACAGAAAAATCGTCGTGAACTGAGTCAGGATCAGGCCACACTGCATAGTAAGTATAACCCACTAGCTCCCCGCTGGCGGCCAGGTCCCGGAGGACGCCGAGTGCCTCCAAGTAAGCCTTCACGACGACGTGTCTCATGAAGGTGGCATTCCAGCGGCCTTTTGTGTCTGTCTTCCAGACCTCTTTTCTATTTGAAGTAACAGCAAAGCACCCGTTGATGTGAACTGGCAATCCTGTTTTTATTCGTAGGGGTAAATAGCAAAACACCTCTCCAGCCTGTGGTCTCACAGCCCACTTTTGGTCCTGGATCTCAGCCAGAAAAACTGCTACAGCCCCACAAGGAACCAGCCCCAGCCGCCTCCCACTCTCACTCAGGGAGAACCTGAGAGCCTCTCCTGTATCCATACAGGTACATATAAGCCACGTGGTACATTCCACTGTTTTTTGTGGCAACTCATCCGATGGCTTTTTGGATTGGCCAGACTTAGCCATTTCGAAGAGAGTCGCTGGGTCGTCATCCGGACCCCTAAAAAGCGGGGACTGTAAGTCAGCAATCCTTCTGAACACATGGTGAAATTCTTCCACTGTGATCTGAAGGATGCAAGACGACTTGGGTGCATCAGTGGGAAGCTTTTTGTTACTGCTGCCGCAAGTCTTCATGAGCTTAGCAGCCTCTTTTAAAACACTTAAGACTGGTGCAGTCAGTGCTTTAGAAGAGCACGACTTCTTTTTAATTATTATTGTATCTTGTGCTAAGCTGGGATTGGTTTCCTCAATTTTCAAGTACTTTAAATACATTGAGTTTACACTCTGAGTGAAAATGATAAGCCTGTGTCCGCAGAGACTAAATTCATCCACAAGAGAGTAGATATCTGCTGTGTTGTAGCAGGTACTGCTAACTTCGCTCACTTTTGCCTCCTGTTGAGTTCTAAAGGACAGTCGGAAAAGAGTCCCACTGTAGCTGTAAGGTGCTTCTACAGTCAAGGGTAACTGACAGCCAAACACGTCTATAAATGGTTTGAACTGATTAGGAAATTTCCTAAGTCTTTTCTGTTGCTTACTCCAATTAATTTTGATCCCAGGATTAGATTTGTCTTTAATGTGCTTACTGATATGGTTTATGTTTGGATCAAACATTATCATGAATTCTCGACTCATGATGATGGGGATGTCAGTGATGTGGTACACGGAATTAAATCCCAGACCAAATTTTCCAACTTTGTCAACTTCTGCCCTTTTTAAGGATTCTCCTAACCTAGTTATGTTCACAAAGTCTGAGTCGGAGAACTCAGAATTATTGAATGACCAGAGCGCTGGCCCGTGACAAGCTGCCATTCCCGGGTCTAGGAGGTTCTCTCTAATGTCCATGTTTCTTCGCATGTCAATCATGAAGCTGCACTCCGTTGCGTTTGCATCATCTGCATTTTGAAGTAGCTCTTTAAAAATATCTGACACTGATGGGTATTCTTCCAGAATATTTTTAATTCTTACAGTAAGTGGTTCTCTTTGTCCTGACTGCTCGAATCCCATGTTCTCGGGATTGATCAGTCTCGTGCTGAGGCATGGGACTTTCAGCCACTCTGCAGTTTTCATGGGGATGTCCTCATGCACCAGAATGATTGGTTCCACTGAATCTTCCAGTAGGTCATTAAGGTCGTCAACTTTGATGTCACAGTAGCAGCACTCGTGAATTGGCTTCATGATAAGTTTAGAAGGGTCCTTGCTGTGATGTACAGGAACTGGTGTGTTGGGGCTTGCTGGGATCTGATTGCTGTACAGCCATCTGATGATGCTCAGCATAAGATGAAGATGCTGCTTGCTTTCTTGGTCACTGAGATCTTGGCCACTTTTGAGATATATCTTCTGAATGACCATGGAAATATGATCTGATGTCAACTCTTCTATTGAACCACAGACCTTAAACAGCTGGTGGAATTTTGCCATGGTTTTAGGCACACTATGCAAATAAGGCTGAAGGTCAAGATCATGGAACGGTTTTATCACAGCTTGGGCAAGGGGACAAAACTTTTTGCCAGTCCAAACCCATGGAAATTTTAAGGCTCTGAAAGCATCTTTCCCTTCATTTAAATGGTCATGCATAAATCCATAAATTTCAAGCAAAATATGCTGGAACTGGTAGTAGTCTTCATCACTAAAGGTTTTCGAGGTGTACCAGTCAACAACCATCTTAAAGTGCTGTAAGACAGCACTGACGCTAGGTTCTGTGACGATCCCTAACGATTTTTCCAAGTTTACGTGGACGCTCTCGACAAGAGGAAGTGACGAGCCCACCAGAATCGCATGGGCCGCGTCACACATATCCGGTGGTGCACAAAGGTCACAGAGATCTCCTCTCCAGACTAGAGAGCCTGGGTAATTTGGAGGCCTTTCCTTGCAAGCTGGAACCCACTTTATTTTCTTCAGTGTCATCTTTCCTTCAGTCGACTGCAACAAGGCGTGGTTCTTATTTAAAACCTGTAAGAGGGTTTTGGCTTTCTTTAGAAGAATGTCCTGATTTGGACAAGAACTGACCTGTAAGGCTTCGATTTTTTTCGCCACTTGCACAACATCTTTCTCTCTGAGACTGGCTTCATTTTTTAAACCAATCTGTCTTAAAGAGTGGAGAACATCTGGTGAGGTAAAAGCCGGTGGTGGGAAACACGTTTCCTCTTCGTTGTAGAAGAGATCCTTTAATACTTGTATATCCGGATCAAAGAGCTCACCGGCTGAGACCATCCGTTCCTGTGAGACCTGAATGAATTTTAATGGTATCAACCAATCAAGCACATTTGGATTCTCATTTTTCAAGGAGGATAGATTCTCAAGGACCCATAACATGAGGTGAGCCATCTCTTCATGTGAATAAAATGCATTTTCAAGGTCTTTTAAAATAAGCTTTAAGCAACTGGTAGTCTTTAACTTCTCTACTTTCAGCAGGTTTGCCAAGCGGATGGTCGCCTCGTCGCTGCTGTCGATGACGGAGACCGAGAGCCGCAGGTCCGCCGGCAGCTTTGCCATGTGGTGCAAGACCCTGCAGCCTTTCAGTTTTGTGTAAGAGGAAACTCCCTGACTGGATGAGTGATTAATTCGCTTGAATATTGTCAGTTCCTGAATGATTCTTTTCTCCTTTTCACTGCTGTCAGTTAAGCTGGCCAAGAACTCCCTCAGGGCGTCCTTGTGCGTTGGAAGGAGCGAAGCTATCTGGTTACAGAGTTTTTGCAAAGGCATCTTCTCCATTATCTGCAGAACAGCACTCGGTGATGGCGAGTGAATGTATTTTTTAATAAGTGGATGTTGTATGGAGGCATCTAATTTTTTGAGAACAATCCCTCCAAGTTTCTGTACAATGTCTGCTAGGAATTCGGGAAGCTGTGCTTCAGATTCGTCCTCTAAGATGACTAGGGATGGAATCCTGAGTCTAACGAGGTCCACGCACGTCTGACCTTCTTCTAGCGCAGTTCTAGGGATAAGTGGCATCTCATCAAATAAAGTCAGATCCTCTGAAAAATGTATATAGAGATTCTTCCAAACCATTTTAAGCCATGAAACAGGCGGGTGATTTTTGTCTTCATCAAATGGATACCACTGGACGATCAACTCTCTGCCAGGCCAGAACGTATTCACTACTTCTTTGATAAGACGTGCAAAACGATCTGGATTTAGAAGCTGCAGCTGAGTACATGGTCTTCCTGTAAATTACATAAAGAAATATTATGAATACATAAAATTCTGTTGTAACTTATTTAACTTTCTGTTCTTACAGATTAGATAGCACTAGAAAGTCTTTTGAAGAGTTTTAAGTATACTGTAAAAATGCAAAAATTCAGTGTAACGGAGCTGATAGAGAATCACACATTAATCCATATTTATAATTGCCTATGGGAGCAATAATTCTCTCTGGAAAGTGCTTATTTTAAATATACGTAAAATGCATTTACATGTGTTTTTAAAATTATCCTATAATGTCCTACAAATAGAATCAACACAGAAAACAATTTTTAGTGGTTATTTGTCCACAAATAAAAGCATCAAAGAAAATGGGATAATTTTTTTTAAAGAACCATTTTATTTAAGGGTAATTTATAAGTAAACCCAATAAGAATTTCTGTTTTTCGTGTTTCCAGGAGCCACATGGCTGCACGGAATAAAGAGTGGGCCCAAGGTGAGGGCACAGGGGCTGGCTGGCATCTCTGTCCCAGCTGATCAACGCCCTCAGAAGCTGAGGCCACAAGGAGACGTGGAGTTTCCTCTGCACCATTAGTTGGATGGGTGAACTAGGTGTCATGTAAGCTTTCTGGGACTTGATTTATCAACTGGAGAAAGGATGGGGATGGGTCCTAGTGCTAAGACTGCTCTGTGCACGTGTCCAGGGAGGGAGCACATTCACAACCCTCCCTGGGACCGATCACTGACCAAAGTGCGCTCCTCTGGGCTCTGGGCCTCTGCAGAAATGCTTCAGGGACAAGCAACGGGAGCAAGCAGAGCACGACTGTGAAGGCAGGGGTTCCCCCCACCAAGCAGCTCCACTTCTGGGTGTTTTGTAACTAGGAGACTAGTAAGATTTTGTCTGGAGGAAAAAGATTTCTGCCCAGTAGTCTAGAAAATAACTTTTTATTTCGAAGTGCATTTTGTGTTTCAGAGTATTTATAATACCATAGTAACAAAATTTTAAAATAACACTCTATACCTATAGGTATATATTTACCCCTATAGTGGAATAAAAAGCATCTCAAATTCAATCTTATGGAAAACTAATACTCCATTTTCCCCCTATGTACATACAATTTCTTAAAAGACTAATTTTGGGAAAAGCTATAAAAGAGGGCACACCTCAAGCCCCTAGGAATGTCTGTGTATCATTATTTGTTAACCCAGGACGGACACCCTTGTTTCACAGACTCACACATCAGGAAGATGACCTTACCTTCTACCAAGAAAGTTATCTTTCATGTTACAATATGACACTTAAAATTACTGCCACAGAAGTTTAAGCAAGGGCACATTCTTACCTACGTTCTGATTATTTACAGTTTCTACATTGTATGTAGACTTAGACTAAATCAAGTAGTAGTATTTAAGAAGTCAAAATCTTGCAGCAGTCTGACTAGTATAACCTCCTTGGTCTATGAATCCCATTAAAATATAATTGTTAAATTAATTTTTGAATATTTTTAAAATGCCTACTGAATTGAATTAACTATAATAGAATATCTAAGTCATAAGGCAAGGATATAATGCCAAAGATAAGAAAAAAGAGTTAGAAATTAAAATTCAGAACACTCAAAAACAAAAAAAAAAGTCAAATATGCACCACACTGTGTTCTGTATTAATAATCACCACATGACATGCATTTTGTACAAAATCCTATGCAATATCCTTGCATGAAATTTGGCAATTTATAAAACACATACCTACCTTTAGGAAAATTATCTAATATCAATGTATAAATAAATGCCAATAAAGCACACATACCACATGTAACATGCGATTAACACCAGTCATGCTCAAATGAAAAAGCATCTTAGAAAATAAAGGAGAGAGAAAATGGAGTAAGAGCCAATTCTAAATACATAAGTCGATTCAGTCTGAAGTCCTGACTTCTATTTATTTTGTATTTACGCCTTTAGCTTTTAACCCTAAAGTATAAACGAAAAAGTCTACATGCCCTGGGTTAGAAAGGCACTGAAATTGTGAAACACCTCTAAAGGTATCAGCAAAGTAATCTCACAGCATTTTAATAAATGGCTTGTGTTTCGTGGCCTGGCCTTTACAATTATCAGCACTGCCAAACGAGGTTAACTGTCTAGCACTGCAGGTGCTCCCGGAGATAGAAAGTTTTTATCTGAACTCTTACCAAATATGATGATCTAGCAATGACTCTTCGAAGAGTCATCTGTGCTTTACTGTAGATCAGTTCAAAATAGTAACAGCAATGTGAATCACTGTTCAAAGACCGCGCTCCATTTTTGGTTTATTTCTGCGTTTATGTTCAGTACTAACTTTGAGAAAGATTTTCAACATGGATGGAAATAGGATATTAGCCTACTTCAGAATAAGGTGAGGGTCCACTTAAATGGTATGCTGTGTATCAGTCAAATCCCCAGAGAATCAAAAATGTAAAAAGGGAAAGAAATGGAGCGCACAGAGGAAGGGGAGGGCATCCTGCCCGCTGCTCAACCCTCCGCCCTCCGCCGGGCGCCCTGCAAGCCCGGCACCAGCACAGGGCGCACCAAGCGGCCAGTGGAAACCTACCGGCTAAGAGGGAAGGCACCGAGGTGGTTCACAAGAGCCCTTGTGACCACACTTCTCCAGAAGTCAGCACGATGCTGCTGCCGCCACCTCCGTGAGCCAGGGCAGGGCCCGCGGCGGGGAGATGCCGGCGTGCCCGGGCAGGAGGCGGCGGGCGGCAGCGCACACCCAGTCTGCCTTCCCGTGGGTCACACCAGGAGACGTGAGAGCGCGGAGTCACAGCAGCTGTGACTGAGAAGCCACTTTTAGCACAAGCTAGAAATCAAAGTTAATATTTATATGAATTCTCAGTGACTTGGTTTCTAAATTAATTGTAATATAGGTATTGCCTGCTTCAAGGAATAGACTGACTCCAAATATAATGTCTACTATAAAAACAATTTCTTATAAAGCAAGCCCTACATCCTCTAATTTTCCAAGTGAAACATGAACTGGGGGGAAATAATACAAATTGAGTTAAAACTTGTTTTAAAAAAAGACAGTCAGTAAATGCCACTTGGCCTTGCAAGAACAACCGGCCAACTGTTCTGACCGCAAGCCATGGGCCGCCCGCGCTCCTGGCGGCCCGTCTGCATGAGGGCTCCTCGCCTCATCATCACAGGTCCCAGGATGGATTCACCTTCATCCTGTTAGTCTCAGTATTTATGTGCACCGTTTCACAGGTGTGTGCACTCTCACACTTTCCCATAAAATACCACAGCTTAAAATACAAATTTCAGCATTGTTCTTTCATTTGAGACTAAATGGTCTATGAAATGCATGTTTCCAAGTCATTTAAATATGATTTTCTTGTGGTATGTGTAACAATCACCTAAATTCCTGTTAGTATAGTTTCCTCTCTCCTTTAGTAGTTATTACCATCAGAAAAAAAAGGTTGACGTAATTTCTAGCTACTTAGGTAAATGAAAAAACAGGATTCAAAGAATCAAATGAACAAAAACATCAGGCTATAAATGAACACAACGTTTAGTCAGTCACCATACCTGAATATCCCCAGAGAAGCTGTTGTGCTAGAACATAATTAAATCTGTTCTTAGAAAAAGCCAGCATTGTCACAATTTTCACATGACAGCTATAGAAATTATTCTGTGTCTTAAGATAACACTATTTGCAGAATCTTTACACATCATTATGTAAAAGAAAAGCCATAAACAAACCTCCAAACATAGGAGAATGTACATTTAAGATTTAAAGATGTATTTCACTGCAAACTAAATCCACACTACGTTAAGGGTGGAGAATCTCGGTACAGAAAGAAATCAAAGAAGAAAGATTATGTACTTTCTATGCATAAATTACTTCTCAGCAACATAAAGACAGTCAGCTGATAAGCTCTCGGTGGCCTTTCTGTACTGGTGATCACCACATGATATTCAGGTAGCCTAGATAATTAAAGACATCAGATTTTTGAAAATTTCTGGAATATCTCTGTACAATCCCAGTACAGCACAATTAATTCTGCCCTTATGACAAAGAAAGGGAGGTTTATCACATATTCCACTGCTTGCCTGCGGTGACCACCAACAGTTACAGACTTCAGGGAACTGCTCCACGGACATCTGAACCTCCTCTGCCTACAGCAGGCACATCTCTCCCACTCGGTGAGAGGTCTACGCATGTGCTCCACTGGGCAGCTGACACAGAGACCACTGGTCTAAGCAAAGGGATTTAAGCCCTGCTGGTCATAGCATCCTTCCAGTTACTTTAGAGGCATTTTGTCAGTCAGTCAGTATTGACTGAGCACTAGGGATACAGAAATAAACAGAACAGACATGGTTCTAGGCCTTGCCTTGCAGTCTCCTGGGGGAGGCAGTGGGTAGACACACGATTTAATGATCGAGCAGGGACAAGTGTACAAGTGCTCCGAGGGGCTCAGAGCTGTGTCAGTACACATGGGCCGTGTAAAAGCAGAGCACGAGGGAGCCAGACAGCGAGGAGGGCAAAGGAAGCCCTGTATACCGCACCCCGGGGGGAAAGAACATGCTGTCTTCTGGACACAAGCAACCGGGGAGGTAAGTGGGGACTGCCAACAATCACAGTAGCAGCAGGTGCCGGCAGACCCTTTCCAGGTACTGGCATCCCTGCAACACAGAAGATGGAGCCAGATCATAGACAGCCTCATGTGGTAAGGATTTTGGCCTTTGTTCCAGAGACAAAGGGGATGAAGCCACTGAAAGATTTTCAGATAAGAAGGGAGGGATTTTTATTTCAAAAAGATAATCCTAGCAGTACTGTGTGGAATTAACTAGAGAGGCAAAAATCAACGTGGGGAGATTTCCGAGGTTATTTCCACATTCGAGGTGAGAAACACCACCTCAAAAAGCGTGAGGGGTGGGCTTCCTAAGACACAGTCCTTTTGTCCGAAGTCGCTGCGGAAGGAGGAGCCCACAACACCCCCGTGGCACAAATCTTGCACTAGAATCTTTAGGAAACTTCTGATCCACACACCGGGGGCTGACACCCAAAACTGACACTTTTTTTCTGCAGCTCTCTGCCCGCATACGTGTGAGGTCGGTCTCTCTGTGATGAACACTTCAGTGATCGCATGGTTGTGTGGGAGTGGACAGTGTGAACACACCACCCCTCCAGATGTGCAGTCTGCAGGCTTTGCCCTGAACGCCCAGCTCCTCTGAGGTCCCCTGACCTGCCAGCCCTCCGAGCGCCGACTCTGTTCTCAGTATCTGACCGAGGCCCCACCGCTAGCCACCAGCACTGGTTACCCTGTGTGTCCCTTCAGTCCCGTTCACCTGTACGTCCTCTCCACCTGGCACCATGCCTGGCATGCAGGGGAAATGCCAGCAAGTGTTCACTGCAGAGACTTCGGTTGTGACATGGAACAAGGCCTGAGGCCATATGTAATAAATAGATGTACAAAATTTAAATATAATTAGGATCTTGGTGCCAACCTGTTAGGCATTCCTACCATTTGTCTGACTTTTCTTTTTTCTGTTTTCCTCCAAAACCAATTTACCTGCTCTTCTAACTTCTGATGGTCACCCATTCACCCATTTACTCAAGTAACTTAATACAGAAATGATCTAGACCTGTAAATAGAAAAAACAAAACAAAGCAGAATCATCATTCCAACTCTGCAACTCAGGTGAGCCATTTAAATCCTTTCAGCTTCAGTGTCTCCGTCCCTCAGAGGAGGAAGACGATGCAGGCTGTATCACCTCACGACTGTGGAGAACAAGTAAGATACTGAAGATACACATTTGAAAAAGAAACACTGACTCCAACATGGAGCCCTGCCTGCTCACCTCGTACCCTGCCCTCCCTGCCCCCAGTGCATCCCGCCCGGCCCAGGAAGGGAGGCACGAGCATCAGCTCGCCCCCTAGGTGCTGGGAACACAAAAGAAAGTAAGAGGTCGCCCCTGCACTCGGGATTTCAAAGTCCAGCACAGGACAACCATGGCTGTCATCAGGCCAGGAGGACAGGCCGTAGGAGTGACGCAGAGGCATCTCCTAGATCTGCACAGGAGGGCAGGGCGTGGGGAGAGGTGACAGAAAGCCTCTCGCAGGAGACGTGTGGGCTGAATGTCACAAGCTGAGTAAAAGTCAGCAAGGCAGAGTGAAGGATGGGAAGAGTGCTCTAAGCAAATGGAACACAATGTCCATAAATGGGAAAACCATAATTTGAGTAAAAAAGAAATTGACCAAGCAGCCACCTTGTAGGCCCTGGGCTGCACGCTGGTACAGACCCCTCGGGCTCCGCTCCGAGTCTGTCAGTCCGCACGTGCCAGGCAACGAGCACAGCGGAGAGACGCGAGGGAGCCCACTCTCCCAAGACGAGCCCCACCCGATCAGTGTCCACAGGCAGAGCTTCAGCAGGGCAGGGGTGGGTGGGCGGAAGGGTGAGAACCGGAGGCAGGAGTCCTGAGAAGTTGCAGTGATGCATCAGGGATGGGGGGCCTGCACCCAGCAGTGGCACCGCGGTAAGAGGGAGGGACAGACGCAGCAGGTTGAGTCACAGGACCCTGGAGAATGAGAGCGCGTGGATGATGGGTGCCTGTCTCTCTGGGCACTCAGACAGAGGATGAAGACTCAAGTTGTGCAAATGGGGATTTGGAGATACTTAAGGAACTCCAAGGGCAAAATGACAACAGCTGCCCCTTCTCAGCATTTATTAAGCGTGGGTACTGTGTCACTGTACCTAGTATGTGCAGTGCCCACCAGGAGTAAGCCGCTTCCACAGAGGTTTTCAGTAACTTGTCCTCCTGCCATGATGCCAAACCAGGGAACACTGAGCAGTGAGCTGTGACTGTCCACCACCCTCCCCTCAGCCTTCTTCTCATTTCAGCTGGTAATAAGGCAATCTGGCATATTCGATGTCACTGAGTCTTGAGGGCCTCAGATGTGCTCTTATGGGAAAAAACTTCACTGGATTTCATAATAAAAAAAATCACTAACTGCTGACCTCAGTCTGACAAGGTTATTGGAATAAGAGTAGAAGCAAAAGCTCGTTTGCGGTGATGGTGGACGATGAGGAAGTGCAGACCGTAAGCACACACCGCTCCTTCTAGAAGCTGGACCGTGGAGAATGCAGACAGCGAGTCAAAGGCAAGGCCTGTTTTGTCTCCCCCCACGGGAAAGACCGCAGCATGTAATTGCGAAGGGGAAGGGGCAACAGAGGTAAACAGCCAAGTACAAACAGCAGTTTAACAGTTAGCTCAGGATTTTAAACATGAGACAAGTAAAAGGTAAAACTACCATGTAATTAGACAGATTCTGCCTGGGTTACAGAATTAGAGAAATACCCACTGCAGAGAAAACCTTCACATTTGAACTACATACAACAGTACTTTCAAAGCTGACCAATCAGTTTTTACTGAAAATTGGTAAACAGAAGTCTGCAGGGCTTTGAGTTAGCAAAACAACTGCATAATCATCATTAAGAGCAAAAGGATGAAACGTCATGTACTTGTGATGTTTCCTACCACACGAAGGGCGCTCGAGAAACCAACACTCCCGGCCTCTCCCCCTCACCAATCCCCCATCTCCCCACGCCACCAGAAAGTGGGATGACTTATCGACCGGTCAGTTTAGAGGGAGACTCTGCCCGTGCCCAGGAAGCCTCCCAGGATGGCTCCCCCAACCCCGCTGTGCAGGGCTGGGCCCCGCACAGAGGGAGGCCTGTGGGCTTCCAGCGTTGCTGCGGACTGGCCTGGCGAGCTACCCCTGTGACTCTGGAGTTCCACGGTCCACTGTGGGCCTCACGCCACGATCTCGATACCAGAGCTGTCAGTAACACAGGGGTGATCTCGGACATCTATCTGCTGGGGTCCTCTCTGCACCTCTCTTCACTGACTCAGGTCTCAGGAAAAGAGAGCAAATGTGTCATTTGTTGGGTCCCCATCAGCCCCTATATTATAATGTCCCCAAAACATTAGAACTGTTAATGGCAATAAACAAATATCAAATCTAATTTTTGTCTGGAATTAATGGTATAAAAATAATGGGGAGGATGCTTAGGAGGCAGTCACCTGTCACCCATACAGCCAGTAAAGTGCTAGAAAGGCTGGGGGCAGGGTAATGAACAGTCACAAGAATGGCAGGCTGTTCCTCAAAGCAGGACAAAGAAAAGTGACCATGAAGACAACCTGTGGGACAACTGAGCCACACGTGATGGGAGACAAACACACAGTGAAGACGGCCCGTCTAGTGTAACAGTCCAAAAAAATTAACCAAGAACCACAGATAAAACACGAGGTCTCACAAGCACAGGAGCACAGTCCACAAGGCCCCTCTCCCCGGAAGTACGTATGTAACTCGCTCGATCCATCCACACCATTAAGAGTCAGGGTCACGGTTGCCCTTGAGAGGATGTGCCTCTCATGGAAAAGCAGGGCCCTGGTGTTGGAGTCCTCTGGTTTTGATCTGGCGTGTTCAGTTTGTAAAACTTCATTAGGCCTACATTTAAGATACATATGCTTTCTTGCAGGTACATTATACTTCAGTGTAACGTTTTCCTACAGGAATATAGTAGAGAATTTGAAAGATAAGGATATCTATAAGTTTGCAGCAAAGAATGTTAAGATTATAGGAATCCATAGTTAGGCTCCCAAAAAGGACACTTGGAAGATGACAATTCCTAATTAAGGAAGGGAACACCAGCGTTACAGTGACGCCTCCCGGTTAGAGTCCTCATGCAACAGTGTTCACACTCTCATTCCCTCGAGCCTCACTCTGGCTCATCCTGAACTTGCCTCTCCCATTCCAACTCCTTTGGTCCATATTTAAATGAGTGAAGATGCACAATCATCAGCAACTGTTCCTTTGGCCATTATCTTTGAAAACAGCACAGACTATAAAAGATGTATCATAAAGAATATGCTTCACAACTTTAACCAGTAGAACAATCCAGAATTTTTCAGCCCCATGTCTAACTTAAAAAAAGTTCAGGCAACAGTCTTAGAAGAGAAAGGATGTTCACAAAAGTTGAAAGATATTAAACTTAGAACCACAGTTATTTTTTTCCCCAACTATTCTGTCTTTTCCTAAAAAGAATTCCCAGCGTAGGACACCCATCCTTTGCTATGACCCCAGAAGTCCCCTTTCCTGACCTTGCTGCAGAGGTCACTTCATCAGGCTAGACTTCCCTGAAGCTGCCCCAGCACAGAACGGTGGGGGCAGGTGGTGTGGGCAGCAGAACAAGGCTGACAACCTTGTCTCCTCATCCGTGCAACCAAACTGACACCAGCTGTCCTCACTGCTACACAGCCTACAAGGGATGAGGATGGGGGCTCAAATAAGAAAGAAATGGGAAAGCACTGAAAAACTGTAAAGCACTGTGCAGGTGTGATAAATTGTTCTGATAAATGCGCACTACCATACCATGAGACAGGACAGATTTTTAATAATCACCTTTGGATTCTTTTAGGTCTCAGAATTCAGTACTGAGATCCCTTAAAATACAACAATGATATGAGGCTGAACCATATGAAATTGCTGAGTTACAGGCCTAAAACGGATAATCACTGGCAATTTCATATTGGTTCAACTTAATAGGAAACTTACAGAAACTGTTTACATTTTTATAAACACATTTATTAAATAAAAAAAAATAAACAACAATAATACCTCGGGTTTGGGCAGCTTCCTTTAAAGCAGCTAAAAGGTGAGGCTTCAAGTTATCCAAAATAAATCTTCCTTCAAGACCTGGGAAAAGGGACCTAAAAAGTGAAAGAAACACAACAATTTTAATCTTCTAAGATAAAGAAATACAATCACGTAATTTCAAGCCAGTTAAATGTACTCACTATTTTACATAAATTATAACGTACCCATGAAATCACACACTACAAAAATACTTTTTGAGCAAGTATTATCCAGGCTCTGCTTTAAAACATGAGGGGTCATGTACCATATTCAAACCCAGAAACAGTCTAAACATCTTAGCATGAAACTAATTTTATTTTCTGAAATGTCAACACACATCCTCAGTTATAAAGAATTATTTAATATAGCATTTTAGTTAATTTCCTCAAAATAATTCATTTTGACTAATTTTAGTTATTATCAGCTCTTTATAACCATTGTTTTCAGTGTTCTGTTATTGGCATTTCCAAGAAAAACAACTGCTTGGCTAACTTTCAACTTACAAACACCTGAATGCTTTTTCACTTTGGAATGTAAGATGTATCCAACCACCTTTTATCAAAGCAGCCCTGCAGAACCTCCCCGACTGTGAAGTCGGCTGGGACCCGCCACGTCTCAGCAGGTGCCTGTGTGCGGGCGAGAGGGGCATCCCTAAAGGCTGAGCGCGCACTTGCGCTGGGCGCTCACCGTGGGTAGTCTTCTGAGGTAATGTAAACGACGTCTTGATCGGACACAGAGGAGGAGAAGGGAACAAAGCTGCCGTTCTGCAGAGGCAGCAGCTCCAGCCCAAGCAGCTCGCTGTAGGCGCGGTCGGCAAGCACGAACTCCAGGAGGTGCAGCTTCTCCGTGGCGCTGCCTGCGTGCGCGGCCTTCCGCAGCACCTGCCGCGTCCAGGCGGGCGTCACCTTCTGCACCGGCCTGGTGCTGGGAGCTGCCAGCCCGACGGCCGCGGCCACGTGGGCCGGCACTTTGACCACCTGCTTCCCGGAGCTCTGGAGGTAGCTGAGCACGGACTGCGTGTACTCCAGGCTTTCGTCCAGCTCGGAGAAGCATGCCTGCTCCAGCCTGACCCAGTGGCCGCTGGCAGAGTGAAGGACCGCGTGCTGGAAGAGCTCGCTGAACAGGGGCCCCAGCACAGGCTGCCAGTGCGCCCTGACCTGGTCCGTGTCGGGCCAGAGCCCGTAGACGCTGGCCACCGACAGCGGCAGGCCGGGGGGGCTCACCGCCTGCAGGCGTCTGATGGCATCCAGGACCAGGGCAGCATAGGCCCCTGGGACCACGCTCACGACGAGCAGCTCATTCCACAGGGCAGCCGGGTCCCTCCACTGGTCCAGCTCCCTCCACTTGATGCTCCTGCGGTTGTCCGTCAGGCCGAAGAACCCACTGACGTGAACCGGGAGGCCCGTCTTACTCTCCTCCCCGGGCGGTAAAGGAAGGAAACAGAAGGCTTTCCCTGAGAACCCGGACACTGCTCCTTCCTCTCCATCCTCTCTGCTTGATAAAGGCATGGCGATGCCAATGACGGGGACGAATTTCAGCTCATCAGCTAGCGAATCGAGTTTACTGCTAATCCCTCGCCCGCCCACACTGTTGCACACCAGCCAAGACGCCTCCTGCGCGCCCGTGGCACTCCCATCTTCTACAGCTATGTCTACAGGGTACGTCACAACGGTTACGCTGCCGCTGGGGATCTTCTCACAGTAGTCACTTATGGCGCCTCCCAGGATCTTCACAGAATCCGGCCGCTCACGTCCCAGGGCCCCGCCCTCACGAGCGCTCACTCTGAACACCAGCTTCTCTGTTCCACTGGCCTCGCGGACATATAAGGAGACATCCTGCACGCTTTTCAGAAAGAGCAGCACCGTGTCTGCATCTGCCTTGAAAGACTCAAACAACTCAAGAACCTTCTGCTTATCGTAGAGGTTGCTACTAAGCTGGGAGGGTTGAAGGCGAAGAGGGAAACGGAAAAATGTTCCTGGAAAACTGCCATTTATAAATGTTTCCTTGGTGCTTCCAAAAATCCCAATAAATGGTGCAAACTGGTCTGAAAGCTTGCTAATTTCTTTGCTATCATCTTTGAGATTCCAACATTGGCCTGATTCATGTGGACCAAAAAGAGTTTGATGAGGATCTAACATCCCAATCTGGTCACCACTGAAGATACAAGGAACATCTGAAAAGGAAAATTCAACAGTCATCATCAACTCCGAAATCTAATGGACAATTGTAATTCTAACCACCATGTATCATTACTCACAAAATGTTACACATGAAAAAGGATGGGCCACAAAATGATTCTAAACAGATTGATCTAAAAAGAAATTAAATTTAGCTTTGGGAATATAATTCTTTGAACACGAAAAATAATGATTTATTTTTTGATTCAAAAAGTACCAGGCATTGAGAGACTTTACATGGTTGTGAAAACCTAGGACATATCTTAAAATACATATTAAACAACTAAAATATGTAAAGTATCCGGATAATTACTCTGCTCCCCCAGCCATGTGAACCTAACTAAACAGAACAGAGTTGCATCCTATGCTCAAAATAAAAGCTTCAACCACAGATTCTCTGAAAAAGAGGGGAGAGAAAGAACAGCACAGGCGACTCCACCCACTGTGTGTGTCAGAGCGCGTGCACCCTGGACTGCATCTCAAATGGGCACCTGACTTTCATGCAACATGCAGGTCCAGGGATGTACACCTGTAACATTTATGGTCATCAACTGCAGGCCCAGTTGTCACAGCCAACTCCTAAGCTCTCAGGTGTTTTAAGTAGGAAATGTTACATCCATCAAGCCACCATGTCAGTCAACAATGTGGTCCTTTGTCCACACCCCCTTTTCCCCTCCCATGATTGAAGTTGTCAGGGAAACTCTTGATGGCTGTAAAGCGTGACTCATGACCTTCACAAATCCTCAGACTGGAAAACAGCACCCTGGTTAATACTGCCCCACATAAATGTGCTCATTCTCAAGCAGTGAACAAACCCACAGTGCAACACAGACGCTGGCAGTCGGCTGGACTGTCTAAACAGCTTGCTCTGGTACAGCGGCCCCCACACAAGTGTGCCCCCACAGAATCTGAGAACTAGCACATGTCACGGACCTGAGGGGTGACTCACATATATGAACAGTCATGTGTAACAGTTATATAATACTGTACTGATTTAACAAGTTTTATTATATAATATGTAATTAATAATACTTAATATATTAGTGTACATTAT